TCATCTATTGCTTATTATTGGCCATAAAGAGCCGTCATTTATTTTATCATAACTGTTAGTCATCCATCGACTACCCTCGGCAGGACATCCAACTCGACCTCGAGACCCCGAATAAGCAAGCTCGAGGCCCCGATTATCAACCATTCGGTTTGGTTATCACATTGTTTTCAAGCTCCTATCGTATTTCCAAGTCTTTCACTTAGCATCAATTGCCTAACAACTAGCATAAAAATAGATCTCATATTTTTAGAACCACAAAATCAAATCTAATTGTAATTACCATTTTCAAGGTAAACATTTTCCTTTTCAGTTTTGTTACTCCCTTTTTAATTATTTTTCTTGACGCATGAATTACAAATTCAATCCATGAAGAACTTAAGAACAATAGTAATATCATCATATATAAAAATTTCTCTGTAATCATGACAATTATTTTATTACCCAATCTAGCAGCAAACATACAATCATATGTAGTTTCAATTTTACTGAAGTTTTAATAATTAAAAAGAATAAATAAATAAATTCTAAATTTTTTATTAACGGTTTGAAAACTAATTCAAAATTATAGTGAAAAATAGAAACTGCTTAGAATTTGGTATTTACAAGTTTATTTAATATATGTCTAAATCAGATTTGTAGTTAGAATTATATAGGAATAGATTTTTATATTTCTAGTTGAAATAGGTTTCATACTATTATAAATAGGTGTATTTTGAGCTTATTTTATATGAACAAGCGTGAAGATTTGTGAGAACTGTGGCGAAACTCTTTAGAGATTTAGAATAAAATAGTTTTCTTCATATGGTATTAGAGCTTCTACGATCATGAGACAAAATCAAGTAGCTTCCGTTGTCGGCAGACAATGCTAACTAATATATGCAGCTCGTCTGACCATGAAGTATGTTGGAAAAACCTTAGATAGTTATCAACAAAATTACATTATTCGGTGAAAAGTTTCAAGCAAATTCAAGGAAAAAACAAGTTTAAAAAGGTGAAAGAAAATATGGCATAAGAGAAAGAAACTCTTTTCTAAAAGTTGGAGAGAGGTTTAATAAGTTGAAAGTTTGATTTCACGTGAATTAACCAAATTTGAGTATTGGTGACAAAGTGTATGAATGAGAGTTGAAGGCATGTGCTTCAACAAAATTGGGTGTTGGTGACAAACTACATCAACGGGAGTTGAAGACAAGTACTTCAACAAAATCGGGTATTGGTGGCAAAGTGCATCAACGGGAGTTGAAGACAAGTACTTCAACAAAATTAGATGTTGGTGACAAAGTGCATCAACGAGGGATGGAGACATGTGCTTCAACAAAAGTGAAAGTTAGAGAGAAGTGCTCCAACGCAACGAGCAAGTCAGACGTATACAACTTTGAATTACGGGAGACTGTTGAAAAATAAATTCAAAGTTGTAGTAGGAAATCAAAATTGTTTAAGATTTGGTATTTACAAGTTTATTTAATTCATATCTAAATATGATTTGCAGTCATAATTATATAAGAATAGATTTTCATATTTTTAGTTGAATTAGGTTTCGTACTATTATAAATACGGATATTGGGAGCTTATTTTGTGTGAAGAAGCATGGAGATTTGTGAGAATTGTGGAGAAACTGATAGGAGAATTATAACAAAATATTTTCCTTCATTAACAAATGCTAATTCAATATAGAGTTTAACTATGATATGGTTCATATATATTTAAGAATGGTCAATAAATAATATTTTCACATCTAAATAAATAAATTAACTTAATAATTTTTGGCCTGTGAAAAGAAAAGAACAAATAGACTGAATAAATATAGGCAACACTCAATTAAAAAAAATGGTCGTATACTATCAGATCAAGCATTTAAATGGACAAAAATAACTCCTCCATTAATAGTCATGTCAAATAGCATATTCCAAGCAAGGATTGTGTTAATGTATAAACTACATTTTTAAAGAAAAATTATTAAAATTGTAAATTATCAATAAATATAATAATTTACTATAAGTCGTTTGGTTCATCTTTTTCTTGTTCAATATCAATCAAATCAACACACACACACACACACACATATATATATATATATATATATATATGTAAAAATAAAAAAAAAATTCAAAGTTATCGATAAAGTATTCGATTCGACTTATATCTGTCTTTTGTTCAACTATTGATTCATGAAAGTCTTCGCCCTTATGTTTCGTCTTGAATATTCCCTTTTCCTTTTGTGTACGGGTAAAATCTGTTCACCCCGATGAGAGAACGAAGGGGGGAACACTGTTATTGTTATCAGGGCCAGAGATGCGTCGAGACCTGGGAAGGATGAACGATATGTCCGACATCAGATGCAGTAAAGTGACGCACCCCGGACCGAATATGATTTCTAGACCTCGGAAGACGCGATGGGCGGTTATGCACGACTGATAAGGGGCCTCAATGTACGCCTCAACAGGATATCACGGCACGAATCTCGCTCAGTGTCGATTGTGGATCAACAATTATCGAGAAAAGAAGATTTTTGCCTTTCTTAGATTTCTACTAGGACTGAAACTCTCCTACTATATAAAGGAGGGAGGGGTTTCATTTCTTCTTACACAATATAACTCACACTCCAAGGCAATAAAAGTTTATTTTTATTCTCTAAGCTATTGTTAAGAATTTTGCTCACTTATATTGTTCTTCATTCATAATTGGGTTCGAAACGAGGGCCTAATCGAGGACAAGGTTGTTGTTCAATCTAAGATCAGGCTTGGCCATAACATCGTGATTGGTTTGATCGTTTATTTCGTCTTTAATTTATTTATCCATTGTTCTTAATTATTTATGTTGAATTAAACCACGTATCCTTTAAATAACATACAAATTTAATTGTTACCTAATTTTGGGATAAACGGTTTGGCTCCTACCACGGGGCTAAGGACAATATTGGTGATTTGATATGAATCTCCATAACACACCCTATTTTTACGCTTGTCCTTTGAAATCTTGATTTCAGGTCAGCCCAAAAATGTTTAACTCTCAGTCTGCTCACTTAAACGTTGATGCTGAGTCAGGTCATCATGGTAAAAATGATAATTTAGTGCCTAGCAATAATGTGCTTCCTGCCAATTCCAACAGTATCCTATTTTCTGACCCAGTCAATGCTAACTCATAGGTGCCCATCAACGTCAACCTGCCAACTGATCCCGAAAATAGTATTCACGGGGGACCCTGGCCGATGGCTCGAGAAGTGCTTGAAGGCAAAGGTGATGGGGTGAGCCTACGACTGATTTTTGAGATGCTACAAGCTTAACAAGCAGCAATCGCACAACTTCAGAGCCAAAACCACGCCCCAATAGGGTGGAGCCCGAACAATCCCGGAAAAGTACTCGAAGGGACGAACAAATTATTAAAAGATCGGGTAAAGGCGAGCCCGGGGTAAGTCCTGAGGTAATGAAAATGCTCGAAGCGTTGGTGAAACAGGTGGAGTCAGGTAAGAAAAGAATTGAGGCTAATGACAAGATACAATTCCAGGGTCGATAAGATCCCAGGGGAACCTCCGATATTGAAGGGGCCGTATTCCAAGAAATTTATCCAAAACCCTTTTCCTTTGAGTGCGGTACCAAAGCCGATCCCAAAGAGGATTCTTATGCTCGTCATCCCCAAATACAATGGGACCACATATCCAAATGAACATGTGGCCTCCTACACATGCGCAATCAAGGGGAACGATTTGGAAGATGATAAGATCGAGTCGGTGTTACTGAAGAAGTTTGGGGAGACTTTGTCCAAGGGAGCAATGATATGGTATCGCAACTTACCCCAAAATTTCATTGACTCGTTTGTTATGTTTGCGGATGCTTTTGTAAAGAACTATGCCGCGGCCATCAAGGTCGAGATCAGAAAGTCAGATCTCTTCAAGGTCAAACCTAGGGATAACGAGATGCTCAAGGAGTTCGCATCAAGATCCCAAATGGAACAGATGGACCTACCACTAGTTGTGGACGATTGGGTCGTTCAAGCATTTACTCAAGGGATCAACCCCCAAAATTCCTTAGGATGTCAATAATTAAAATAAAATATGGTGGAGTACCCAGCTATAACCTGGGCCGACGTTCACAACAGGTACCGCTCGGAGATCAGGGTCGAAGACGATCAGCTCGTGGCCCTTTTTGGATTTATTTACCCTATCAGGCCCGATGATAGATCTAAGAGAGCCATTAATCAAGAGCCAAGACGGGTCTTAGATCGGTATCAACCATACAACGCGGATCGAAGGGGAAGTGGATCCGGGAGTCACCCCGCGAGGAACGAGAAGAGGAGCTATCGAGGACCCGGTGGTCGAAGACTGATGAGCAAAAATGGGTTCGACAGGCTGCTCGGGATTAGGTAAGCACCAAGGTTATTGGAGTACAACTTCAACGTGGATGCTGCCAGCATCGTTTAGCCATAAGGCGCATCAAAGAGACTAAGTGGCCTTGACCATTGCAGTACGACCCTACCTAGAGAGATTCTAATTTGATGTGTAAGTAGCACGACACTCATGGTCACATGACCAAAGATTGCCGAAAGTTGAGAGAAGAGGTAGACCGGTTATTCAACAACGGGCACCTTCGAGAATTCCTAATTGAGTGAGCCAAAAGCTACTTCAGGAATATGGACTCCAACAAACAGGTCGAATAAGATGAGCCTCAACACGTGATCAATATGATCATCGGAGGGGTCGATATCCCCAAGGACCAATGATGAAACACACTAAAGTATCTATCACAAGGGAAAAATGCATCCGGGATTACATTTTGGAGTGAACCATTTTGTTCAGTGACAAAGATGCTGAGGGCATCATACAACCTCACCACGATGCACTTGTAATATTCGTACTTATCAATAAATCTCGAGTTATATGTATGTTGATTGATCCAGGTAGATCATCCAACATTATTAGATCAAGGGTTTTAGAGCAACTGGGGTTACAAGACCAAATCGTACCGGTAGCGCGAGTATTGAATAGAAATAAAAAGGCATGCGAGACCATGAAAGGAGAGATAACCTTGCCAGTAAACACCACAGGGACAATCCAAGAAATGAAGTTATACATGATCGAAGGGGAATTGAGGTACAATGCTCTATTCGGAAGGCCATGGGTCCACAATATGAGGGCAATACTCTCGACCTTGTACCAGACATTGAAATTTTCCATACCAGGGGGAGTCAAAACAGTCTACGAAGAACAACCGGCCACAAGGGATTTGTTTGTTGTCAACGAGGTAATCCCGATGCCCGTAGTTTCGACATCAAGGAACATGAAACCAACCAAAAAGGATGATATTAAATAGCAATCACTGATACTGGCCTCACCGAATAGGAGAAACAGGAAAAATGGGGAGCATACGAGGAGGACAATTATGGTGTCCCGAGATCATTCATAGCTCATGATGACATTAATGATACCAAATCAATGGTTGAAGAGTTGGAACAAGTCATATTAATTGAGCGTATGCTGGATTAAAAGGTATACCTGGGCACAAGATTAACCCCCGAGTTTATGAAAAAACTTATTAATTTTCTTAAAGTTAACGTTGATTGTTTTGCCTAGTCCTATCTTGATATGACAAGGATCCCACCGGAGGTAACCACTCACAAGCTAAGTTTGGACCCGAAGTTCCATCCGGTCAAGCAAAAGAGGAGACCACTTCGATATTAAACACACATTCATCAAGGATGAGGTATCCAAACTTCTAAAATTAGGATCCAACCGGGAAATTAAATACCTGGATTGGCTAGCTAACATAATGGTCGTACCCAAAAAAGAAATAAACTTAGGATGTGTGTGGGTTATAAAGACCTAAATAAAGCATGCCCTAATGATCCTTTCCCTTTGCCTAACATCGATCGAATGATCGTTGCGATGGTCGGGCACGAGATACTCAGCTTTTTTTATGCCTACTCGGGGTACAACCAAATTCGGATGGACCCGGACGATCAAGAAAATACCTCTTTATAACCAAATTCGGCACCTACTATTATAACGTAAAGCCGTTTGGATTAAAGAACGCTGGTGCCACCTACCAACGCCTAGTAAACCGGATGTTCGAAGAACAAATAGGGAAATTAATTGAAGTTTATATTGACGATATGTTGGTCAAGTTCCTGCGCACAGAGGTCCGTTTGAAACATTTGCATGAAACCTTTGACATACTACGGAAATACAGAATGAAGCTCAACCCAGAGAAGTGCTTGTTCAGGGTCAGTTCGGGCAAATTCCTCGGGTTCATGGTATCAAATATGGGTATAGAGATCAACCTCGATAAAATAAGGGTCATAAAGGACATCACTGTAATGGACAACATCAAAGCAGTTCAAAGATTGACTGGGTGTATAGCCGCATTAGGTCGGTTCATCTCAAGGTCCTCGGATAAAAGCCATCGATTCTTCTCACTATTGAAGAAGAAGAATAACTTTTCCTGGACTCCGAAATGCCAACAAGCTTTGGAAGAACTCAAAAGGTATCGGTCGATCCCCTCTAGTGCACACACCGAAGGCAGATGAATAGTTGTACCTCTACTTAGTAGTTTCCGAGGTGGCAGTAAGTGGTGTCTTAGTTCGAGAGGAAGAAGGTATGCAATTTCCTATTTACTATATCAATAGAACTCTAGGCGATGCTGAATCGAGGTATCCTCACCTGGAAAAATTAGCACTCGTTTTGCTAAGTGCTTTCAGGAAGCTAAAGTCATACTTTCAATGCTACCCTATATGTGTTGTAATCTCTTACCCACTGTGGAGTATCATACATAAGCCCGAGATCTCGGTCTTGTTGGGCAAATGGGCCATAGCGATTAGCAGGTACGACATCGAGTACCGACCCCGAACTGCCATAAAATCTCAAATTTTGGCAAACTTCATTGCCGAATTTTCGCCGACCTTAATGCCCAAAGTCGAAAAGTAATTACTTCTCACCTCGGGGGCTAGTTAGGGAATATGGACCCTATTCACGGATAGTGCCTCCAATGCGAAAGGGTCCGAGCTTGGTATTATTTTGAAACCACATGCGAGAAGCGTGATCTGGAAGTCTATTAGAACTATAAAATTGACTAACAATGAAGCCGAGTATAAGGCCATGATTGCATGGTTGGAACTAGCTAAGAGCCTCGGGGCTGAAGTGATCGAAGCCAAATGTGACACCTTCATCGTCATAAATCAAGTCAACGGAACATTCGAAGTAAAAGAAGAACAGATGCGGAGGTACTTGGACAAACTGCAGGTGACCCTGCACCGATTCAAGGAATAGACATTGCAACACGTATCCCAAGATCAAAATAATGAGGCTGATGCACTGGCAACTTAGGGTCGCCTGTTGACTCAAATGAATTCAGCTCCGGGGCAGTGGTACAATTGATGAACTCAATAGTAGAAGAAGGTCACGCCGAGGTAAACTCGATAATTTGACATGGGATTGGAGAAACAAATACATAGACTACCTGATGATAGGAAAATTCCCTTCGGATCCCATGGAATTGAGAGCCCTACACACTAAGGTTGCCAGATTTTGCTTGGACGATGGGGCATTGTTCAGGAGACCCATCTTCGGTCCGCTGGCCAGATGCTTAGGGCTGGGGGAGACCGAATATGCCATGAGGGAAGTTCACGAGAGCACTTGTAGGAATCATTTGGGAGAAGAATCCTTAGTTCGAAAGCTAATCATAGCCGACTACTACTAGAATGAAATGGAGAAGGATGTAAAAGACTTCGTACAAAAATGTGACGAGTGCCAAAGACACGTCCCGATGATCCATCAATCGGGAGAGATGCTCCACTCGATCTTGTCTCCATGGCCGTTTATAAAGTGGGCAATGGACATCGTTGCTCCCCTGCCATGGGCACCCGGTAAGGAGGTTCAATTCATACTATTCGTGACCGATTATTTTTCCAAATGGGTTGAGGCTCAGGCGTTCGAGAAGGTCTGGGAAAAATAAGTCATTGACATCTGGGATAACATAATATGTCAATTTGTGATACTAGCCGAGATTGTTTGTGACAACGGAAAAATAATTTATCGGCAGCAAGGTAAGTCAGCTTTTCGAAGATCACAAGATCAAGAAGATACTATCAACGCCTTATCACCCTAATGAGAACGGACTGGCAGAATCAACAAACAAAACTATACTCCAAAACCTTAAAAAGAGGTTAACCGGTTCAAAAGGAAAATGGAAGTAAATCTTGCCCGAAGTCTTATGGGCATATCGTACGACTTCAAAATCGAGCACCGGGGCTACCCCGTTTTCTCTGGTCTACAAAGCCGAAGCCTTAATACTATTCGAGGTGGGGGAACCGAGACTCAGGTTCCAATATGCTACCGAAGAGTCGAACGGCGAGGTTACGATCACGAGCCTGGAACTGTTGGATGAAAGGCGAGAGGATGCCACGGTCCGGTTGTCCACCTAGAAGTAGTGAGTAGGAAGGTACTATAACCGAAGAGCCAACCTCCAACACTATCAAGTCAGGGACTTGGTACTGAGAAAGGTAACACTACACACTATGAACCTAAACGAAGGGAAACTGAGCCCGAATTGGGGAGGACCGTATCGAGTTGTCGGTATAACCGACAAAGGCTCGTATAAACTCGAAGTAAGAAATGGTGTAGAACTACCAAACTACTGGAACGTGGCACACTTAAAGCGGTACTATTTCTAAGGTACGAACTTAATTCCTTTTTAATTTTGTTATACTACGGACTAACATATGCTAGTACTCAACTAGGGGCGGATATGGCTATTCAGTTCTATTTCTCTTGAACCAATTTTGTCCCAAAATGGGTTTTTCGACAAGGTTTTTAATGAGGCAATAGTAAAATGTGCTACCTTAGACTTGAAGACAAGCTTTAAATCGGAATCGATGATCATTTGCATCAGATCGACAATATGAAAACTCTCATAAGTTCGGCTTCGAATACTGGGGGCCATTACCCATCGAATAAGATTTTTAGCAAGGGAATAGTAGATTTTATATGTCTAAAGATGAGGCTTGGTGGTTAGGATTCACTGTAAGGGTCAAACAGTTATGCGAACTGTGCTCACATAGTCCACTCTAGCTACGGCACAAGGTTTATGCACCTCCAATTATGTTCCTTGCATATTAAGAAATGAAAGAAATTTTCTACTTCCCTTACACGTTATTACTGCGCATTTTGCTTTTTCGATCCAGGATCCCAAAACCCATGGGCTATCCCTACTCGGGGACTGTTGATAAAGCCCACAGGCTACCCCTACTCGGGGACTATCAATTGATAAAAATATGGACGACTCGGGCTATCGAATCCGGAGGCACCAAGCCTATTAGGCGGTGCCTGAACATAAAAGGCTATGACCACCCTAAAAACGGCTCATAGAAGTCCGAAGCTCGTACTCAAAAAGTAAGGCTAAGCATCTTAAGCAAAAATATCATCTAAGACACTTAAGCATCTTAAAGGCCTTCGATTTTATCAAAGAAGCGACAAGTAATCCGGAGTCACCATTCGAAGAACGAACGCTCTAGACTACGTTTGGTTTTATGCTAAGGCATTAAAAATGATATGCAAATAGATGTTGGAAAGTAAAGATGTAATATTGACAAAGGGGGAAATTTCATATATTACAAAAATTATATACAAAGACACGGCAAAACGGCCTCAAAATAAACAAAAAAGAAAATACACAAGGAAAAAATATAAACAAACTAAGGCATTTACCCCGGGTCTTCACTGGGACTCAACTTGTCACTGGAACCGTCGAAACCATTGGAATGCTCGGAGCATTTGGGACCCTCCGGCTCGTGGAGTTCCTTTGCCTTGGCCTCGAGTATCTTGTCTTTTCGATCTCGGCCAACAAGTTAAAACCTCAGGCATGGATCTCCTCGAGGGTCTCTTTCCAAGATAACCACTTTACATACTCGGTCTTTGTCTTTAAGCGTGCCTCGACTACCTCCACATCGGCCTTATACTGGCCAATATTTTCTCGACGTCATAGGAATAGACAGAAGTTGCCTCCAACTTGGACCTCAGCAAATTATATTCCTCGCCGAGGGCATCCCGTTCCGTGATGGCCATGTTCAGTTATGCCTGGAGTTCATCATTTAGCTGAGACCACTTGTCGACCTTGTCCTTTGCGACTCAGAGTTGATCCTTGGCCGATTCCAGCTCTACTTTTGCAGCCTCTTTTCCCGAAGCCAACATATCTATCCTATCCGTCCACGCCTCGGTTGTGGCCTTGACCTTATCCATCTCAGCTCGAAGCTGGTCAATCAAGTCTATCTTCTCTTAGACCTGTGAAGTAGCATCGTTTTCCACCACGAGTAGCTTCTTGTTTTTAGCCTCAAAGATCCTTACCTTCTCGACTAGGTCGGCGTACTCCCGCTTTAAGGTCAATGCCTCCTTTTGGGCCTTTTCTAGCTCGGCTCAGAGAATCGGGGGGTCCTTGAGGGCCTAGTCTTGTTTTTCACTAAGAGCTATGTACATGTACTTCTTTTGAACTTGCT